CTTTGTGGGGGGGGGGGCAGGGGACGGCCACACTGCAAGCCCTTCTCCTCCATTCTCTCAGGATCTCGGGCAGGTATAACTTGTACCTGGCGTGATTTTCAGCCCGCCAGGTCTGGGACCTGGAGTCCAGTGCTTTAATCACCATGCCACTTGCTGGCCCCAACCATGGTCTTCTTCAAATGCATGTCCCTGCCTCTCAGTTGCCTTTGGAAGTTTTCAAAAATCTAAATTGAGATGCTCTGTGAATGTGAGACATGGCACACGGCCCTCCTGAGCCCCCGTCACAAGTCCCAGAGCAAGAGTTTCAGACCAGAAAGACTGGCGGCCTCGGGAGCCTCATTTCACAGTTAAGTTACTCATTTGTTTCTTCTTGTCTGGTTTTCCCATCCCCACCGGTCATCCCCCTCCTCTCACCTCCCATTCTCCTCTCCTAAACCCTCCATCCTCTTCGGAGCTCTTCTTCTATTTCCTCTCTTCCTTCCTCCCTTTGAAAGCCTGGCCTTTCTGGGCAGTGGGAAAGACTGGAATCTGAGACCTGGCCAGTGGCCAGCAGTAGGAGGTGGGAGAAACAGCTGCAAGGTCAAGCCAGGGTCGTGTCAATGGCCAGGGGAAAGCGGAAGTGAGGTCATGCATCTCCCCCACCCTGGGGCAGACTCTTCCCACTTTAGTCCCCGCTAGAACCCTGTTCTTGGTGAAGGGTGGACAAATACACCACCCCCAAAATATACTACTTTGGCAGAAGGTCTATTTTGAGCTGAAGACACTTGAAAAACAGCAGATGCAAGAAGGGCATTCTAAACTTTCCATTTCTTTCCAAAAACAGGAACTGAAAACTTTCATGTGAAACATGCTGTCCCTGTACCAGGAGAAAAGAAATATTCCTCAAGTCACTCAGAAAACAGTTTTCCGGAAAGAGCATGGCTTATTTAAAAGCAGCAGCAGCCTCTCCCAGGCCAGCATCACTTTGCTCTGGGTGACTTAAGGAGTTCCTTAAAACCCAGACACAAGAAGCACTGTTTTCTTTCTCCCATGGTCAGACTGTGTTGGAGGTGCTGCCCTGTTTCTGGAGAGGCTGCCCCAGTGCCAGTCAGGACTGGGAGGGATGAGATGTTATCCTCTTGGTCCAGTTTTGAGGAGAATGCCTGCTTCTTCCTTAGCTCTAGATGCCTGCAGCACTAGCTCTCCATGGGGAGTCTTAAGAGTGTCAAGACCTGAATGATGCCTAGCCCTTTGCTCCTGGTCCAGTAGGTCTAAGCAGTCATTAGCAGTCTTTGTCTTGTCCACATGGCCCTGGGGAGGTATGAGGGTCACCCTGCTGCTTCATGTCCCAGAGATCCTCATGGCTCTGGAGTCCTGTTCCTTCTTGGGGACCCTGCTAGGGGCCTCCCCAGGGCTTTGCCCCATAGCAGGACACAGATTGCTTCTCTTGGGTCCCATCCCCATTCTCTTGTCATTCTTTTCCGTATCAGCCCAGGAAAGGCCTTTTTTAGATTGTTGCGTCTTCCCCTACAATCTTCTCAGGTCTTCCCAAAGGTTTAGAATTCAGGGGTTGGAAGCTGGAAGTCCTTATGGGCTAGTCTCAGCTTTCTGTCCTTTCATTGCTTTCTTTAGGAAAAGAATGTGGAACCCAGAATCTGCTTAACATGGGCAGAGAGCAAGGAGCCAAGTATCCGAAAAATGTCACCCTGTTTCTGAGAGTTCATCATGGGGCTCAGTGCCCAGCATGCAGCCAACGAAGACTGAAAAATAAACAAGCGAGCAAGAGAATGCACGAATACAGGACAGCTGGCTTCTTGCTGCAGGGCTTGAATTCAAATCTCAGCCCCCTGGCTGACCTCCCTCTGCAAGACCCAATGACTTCATCCACAAAGCAGGAGAGGGATGAGATCATCTCCGGGATTCCTTCCAGTCCCAACCCTCTAGACTGTGTATCCACTTAGGAAAAAGAACCTTTATGCCATCAGCCCACTGAACGTGAGCAGGGAAGAAACCCCCTGGGTGGGATTCAGGCTCACACACAATCACCTCTATCCTGTGCCATCTCCCAAACATCACACAACAGCCTGCTGACAAGGTGAGGTTGGGTTTGCTGTCACTGTGGACAGGGTGAACACCGCCTCTACAGAGTCTCAGTAGCTTCTGAAAGCAGGAGGCGAGTGGGAAGGCTGAGACTTCGAAGTCTGGTTTAATGTGGCTCTTCCTGTGCGAAGGCATGGTCAATTAGCATTGGTAAGGATCAGGTCTGGTGGACATACCAAAGTGAGGGTTTCTATCTAAGGGGTTCAAAGAATCTCAGGGTGTAACGTCTTTCAAGACTTCCTGTTGAAGAGATGACATGTCTTTCAGGAAGTTCCTTGGGATGAACTGTAACATTGTTTGCAGCTTTTCTCTTCTAAGGCAAGCATCTTCTGGAATAATAACAGCAAAGTTTTTCTGATGAAGACAATGGGATAGTAAAGTCGTAATAATAGACAGGGAGCTGTGGGTGGTTTGAGCCTCATCCCAAGCTGTCTTTGTTGGCAGGCTGAATGACAGTGGTGTCTCTCCACCCTGCCCTGGACCCTGGAGGCTGCACCTACACCCCCTTGCTTTCTTGGTCTAGCTGGGTTTGGCCCATGGTGGCAGGCCAGTGAGTGAGGCTGGAATGCTTACCCGTTTCCTCCGTGTGGGTCACCCCACATCGGTTTCTTCCCCCTGTTCTAGCTCTCAGCTCCTACCAGGCAGCCTTCTCAGTAAACTGCTGCTCCCATTTCCTTCAGGCCTAGGGGAGCCCAGCTGCAATTAGTCCTTGTTGCTTTTCTTCTTATTCCGTGTTCCCAGTGAGCATGTATTGCTTTTCTAAAGACATCTCCACATTTTATTTTAAGTCAATTATGTGAAGAGTAAAAGTGCTGATGAGTATCAGTGGGGAACTTGTGAAAACAAATAACCAAATGTTCATTTTTTATTCATAAATTTTGAAACTAAAGTAGCTTTTAAAGAAAGCTAAAATGCTCATACAGACATGAAAGGAACACATGTTAAAGATTTTACTCAGTTCATGGTTAATGAAGGTTAGGAAGATTCAAAGATGTTACGGCCAGCTAAAATAAGTCCAAGAAGCACACATATTGAGTGAAGCAATGTAAATTTGAAAAATTTTACAAATACTCCCAACAGACTCCTGGATTGGTTCCAGGCCTCCCCTGTGGATTCCAAACTCATGAATGCACGAGTCTCTTATATAAAATGGTATAGTATTTGCATATAATATACATAAATCTTCCTATATACTGTAATTTTTTTTGAGTATACCATATTTTTTTTATTTAACAAATTTTTATTTTTCCAAATGTGCAGTTGATTATATCAGTTCATGTATCTTCACCACAAAGCTGGGGCATCTCCACTCTTTGTATTTCTAATGTAACTTACTTGAGCTCTGTGCTTTGAAACCAGGGTTTTAAGTCCTTTGTGGAGGAGCTCCACAGTGCTGCCCTGGCCAGGGAACTGTGAATCTTCAGCTTCTCAGAAGGTCCTCACCAGAAGCAGCTCCTGGACACTGGGCCTCCACACCACGAGCTGCATTAACCTCTGTTCTTTACATTACCCAGGGTCAGACATTTTCTGTTGCTAACAAAAGAAGGATCGAGCACACCACTGAAGCACACTCTTCCTTTCTGCAAGCCGTTCCACACTTCATACTTCAAGAGTGATCCAACGCATGGCAAGTGAGAGTCTATGCGGGCCCTGAAGACGGCGAGGACGAGCTCGTTCCCTCTAGCAGTCCGACTGATGGCATGCTTATTATCCTCCCACCCTTGGCATCAAGATATTTTTAAACTCAGTTCCATCATAAAGTCTCCCTTTGGGAAGAAACAAAACGTTCTACTGCTTTAAGAAAGTTGGGAAGCCACCAAGCCATGGCCAACAGCTTTATTTGGTAGCAAGAAAATCAGGGCCCGGAGACACCTGCTCCAAGGCACGCAGCTTGTCACTGCGCTGTGGTTGGAAATGGGCTTCGAGGACCTACAAGGTGCTCCTTTTTGGCACTGTGACGTGACACATGAGCTCAGCTGGAAGGACTTAGGAAGCAGGCTGTGACAGATGGTTTTCATCTCCTGGGCTCTGGGGAATCTGTTACCATCCCCCTAATTGGATGTTGGGAGCTTCGAGCAAACTGGTCATCGACATCTTATCATTGTTCAGGATCCCTAATTATACCTTGGAATTTGGCTTAAGCGCAGCTTATGGGCTGTTCATTAATACTGTCGACAGGGACACTCAGCCTTTATGAAATTCTTCATAGGAATTTAAGTCCCCACATTGTTCTGGTGCATTAAGAAAGCACGTCTGCTCCCCGCTGAAAGATGACTTCAGTTAAGCGCCTGGAGTCTGGCTGACTTTGAGTTGTTTTTCTAACGTCTCAGTTTGAATTCAAAGTTTTGCAGTCCTGGTTTTCATCGGCTCCCAGAAGCCCTTTGCCGGGCTTAGTTCACCAAAGGCAGAGCGATCTGCCCTTGGCCTTTCATAACCAATCTCAGTTTCCTGGCTGTCGTGTTGTCAAAAACCTCGTCGTCTTGTTTGCACGACCAGTTTCAAGAGAAGCTTTGTCTCCACAAAGAGATGGTGGTTCCATCTGGCCCTGCCACCAAGAGCCTAGTGATTCCAGATGGAAAAATCCCCACCCCTCCTCGTTTCCAAAGCAGCCCCCACCCCAGATTGTTTTATCTTCAGCCAGCAGCACAAACCCTCTGGAAACAGACACTCTCTCGGGTGGAAAGAGTCACTAACGGGGGACAGCTCATCTTTTCTTCCATCCTTCGACCCGTGCCATGTGAACGGAAACAATGCACACATCTGGCTGGACTGGTTGAAGAGGAGGGCTGGGGCGAAGAAGCTGGGGAGGGCTGGCCTTTATCGAAGGAGACCTTAGGAAAAGGCTGTTCTTACTGCCCAGGAACAGTGTGACTTTCCATTGTGACTGTAACTGTTCCACTGTGAAGACAAGGACATTTTATTTGATTATTTTTTCTTTTCAAAAGACATCCTTAAGGAGCCCCAAGTATTTGACGAGAATCCTCTGGTGGCACTCAGGGTTTTTCCAGGAGGTTGGAACAGAGCCCCATGTGTTCGCACGTACCTCTGGGGGAATGAAAGCATGTGAGGAAGAGACGGGGAGAATAGGACGGGTAATGGAGGCGATCTCTGAATTTTACAAGTAAAATTTCAGCTGCTAAAAAGAGCGCTTGGGGGTCAGCCTCATAGCACGGCGGTTAAGTGCTATGCATAGAAAGCTGGTTCCCACATGGTCAACCATGGTTTGAGTCCCAGCCCTGGCAGCTTAAAAAATATGCTGGGCACGTGTGTACTAATGCCCTAAATCCTGATGGATGGGGAAATGGAGGAAAAAGAATTACATCATGACCGTGTCTCACTAGGGGGTGCTTTCTCTCTCCCTCTCTCTGGTGAGTGATCATGCTTATTAGCAATAACAAAAAATAATAGACACTTGTCTACACTCTACGGCAGAAACTGGAAGATTGGAAGGTATAAAAACAGAGAGAGCAACTGTGGATACTGGAGGCCATGTGGGAGGAGGGTGGGAAATGGGGGAGGGTGAGAGGGAGGGAATCAAGGGGAAAAAGAGAGAAGCAAAACATGTAACGGATGCAAACATGGAAGGTTGCTGATGGTAATGCGTCTGCAGTAACTTTAGCTGGACTAACATACAGTGTGTTCATGCTGGGAAAACTAATTTTGTATGCTGTAATGATATACAGTGATTAAATGTAAGAAAAAAGAAAAAAGAAAAGAAGAGAAAAAAGCACTGGACATAGGCCTCTCCCCCCAACCCCCCCACCAGTAGCCCCCTGGGACCTCACTCTCACTGTTCACTTCCTTCCAGCTCAGCCTCAGGGAGGCCAGCTTTTAGGTCACCTGTTGACTGTGTTGAGCTTTGAACCTTGCACACAGAGGTAGGAGAGGTTGTGAGGGACCATCCTGTTTGCCTGTTCAAGTAGTCGCACCTTGCCCAAAAAGTAAGACCAGGCCTCCTCACTCTCTCACTGACTTGCCCCATACAGGCCAGGCTCTCCTCCCTTTTCTCTGAGACCTTCTTTTGCCTTCACGAATGTTCTCCAGATTGAGGTACTCTGCGTACGACCTCTCCTTAATGAGCCAGGGTATCTTTTTCACCCAGGAGGCCCATCCAGCCGGCCTGCTGTCGAACTCTAAGCACGTCCAGAGTTAAGACAGGGAGCTATAGTCAGCCGGCGGCTATGGAAAGGTGTGAGCAGGCCCTAGTGAAGGGGCTGCAGGCGAGGATGTCTGGAAGCAGGAACCCTCCTTCTGTCTGTGTTTTCACTTGAAAACCTCAGAAGCAGTGAGCTTACCAGGGGATTTATTTCCATGTCCCCGGAGCAAATGTAGAGCCAGTGTGTGTGTGCGCATGCGCATGTGTGTTGGGGGAGTGGGAGAGGAAGTGGCGCTGGAGATGCAGTTTCGTTTCCTGTACGAAGGTCCCACTGTGCAGGCTGGAAGTGCTGACCACTTCCCATTCAGCATCTGCTCGTAAATGTGCAGGTGACTGCGGCTGTGGCCAGTGCAGCTGCGTTTTTTTTTTTTCACTTTTAAAATATATATTTTTTAGAATTATTTAGTATTATTTATTATCATTATTATTATTTTAAATTTTGCTACAGGGAATGTATGCTTACCAGAGAGAGACAGAGACCGAGAGAAAATGAGAAAGCAAGCTGCCAGGTCTGGGACTCGAACTGCAGTCAGCCATGTGGGAGCCCAGTGCCTTACCACCCCACCACCTTCTGGCTCCTATTTGTCAGAGATTGTTCTCAGAGGAGCTTGAGACAACAACTTTTGCTGGAGTTGACTGCCGAAGTTGGGTTTTCAAAACTGGGGAGCGCAAGGGCTTGTTAAATGGTGAGGAGTGATGGCCTCTTTGTCACTAGTGTAAAGGACCTGGGGAGCTCTAGGCACCCACTGATGGTGACTTTAAAATGCTGCTGAAAAACTATGTAGCAAAATAGTAAGCCCCTAGTTTGATGGAAGAAAAACAGCATCGGTAATCTCAACATCCATGCACAATATAGTAACTGGATAGTGCTTTCTGTATACACACACACACACACAGACACACACACACACACATATAGTTCCAATCCCGCATTTTATACTAGTGGCAATGCTGACTTATGTCTTTTCACTTAATGTTGTGCCGGATAACCATTTTACTATTACATGATAGTAAAACCTAACATTCTTTTGGGACCATGGGGCATTTTATTTGGATTAAACCTTCCCCCTGTCAATAGACATTCAGATTGTCTCCTTTTCCTTCTCTTTCCTTGCTATTGAGGTGGTGCTGAAATGAACATTGCTGGGTATGCAACTTGAAAGAGGAATAAAAGAGAGTTGAGAAAGGGATTGACGAAGCTATTGCAACAGTGCTCCTCAGACTTTTTGGTGTTAGGACCCCTTTGCCCTCTTGTGTTTATAGAGACAAGGTTTTGCTACGCAGCCCTGACCTCAGGCTTGCAGTCCTCCTGCCTCAGCCTCCTAAGCAGCAAGTGGCTGGGATAACATGCACATCGCTGTGCCTGGCTCCTTTTACATTCTTTTTCTTTCTTAAAGAATTATTTTATTTTAACTTTATTTATTTTAATTTGACCAGAGAGGGAGAGAGAGAGAGAGAGAGAGAGAGAGAGTGAGAAAGCAAGCTGCCAGGTCTGGGACTCGAACTGTGGTCGGTTATGTGGGAGTCTAGCATCCTTAACACCACGCCACCTGCTGGCCCATCTTTTTACATTCTTAAAAACGCCTGAGAATCCCCAAGAGTTTTTGTTTCTATGAGTTCTTTTTTTTTGCCCCAAAAATGATTTAATTTTATTTATTATTATTATTTTTAATTTGCTATAGGACACGTGTGCTCACCAGAGAGAGAGAGAGGGAAAGTGAGAAAGAAAGCCACCAGGCCCGGCACTCAAACCACTATCGGCCAAATGGGAGTCCAGTGCCCTACCCAGCATGCCATCTCCTGGCTCCTCAATATGGTATTTTGATATTTGCCTCACTACATTAGAAATTATAAGTGAGAAAATTTAAATACTTAGTAATACATTTTTAAAATGATAAAAATACATATGTTTTAAAACTATAAAAACCACCAGATAAGTTACATATTTTTGTCAACAGTAACTTTACTTTCTAAAACAAAAACACTTATGAGAATGGCATTGTTTTACATTTTGCAAATTTTTCTTTTTTTAGATTTTTTTCCATGGTATGCACACTTGCCAGAGAGAGACGGAAAGTGAGAAATCACCCTCTGGGGGGATGGCCATGCTGCAGTCTCTTCGCTTCCATTCTCTTCTTGGAATTTTGAGCATATGTACACATGCCTAGAGTGGCTTTTAGGTCACAGGGTTCCAGAATTTGAACTGCAGAGTTGGCCGTTTGGGATTCAGTACCCCAACCACCGAGCCATCTGCTGACCCCTCATATCTCTTTTTTGTTGTTGTTGTCAAGAATCAAGGTGAAAAAATAGAACAAGTGAACAAGTGTCTATACACCTGGAATTTACTGACGTTTGGGGTTCTTTCTCTCTTCTATAAATGTAAGATTTAGCAAAAAAAAAATCACTAAATTGTTACCTTTGACATTCTGTGAGTGTACGTACATACGTACATAAGTGTGGACACTTCAGAAGGTTTGCTAGAGTGCAGTTGGGGAGTCTCTGTTGCACCAAGTTGGGCAGGCGAGAGGACAGAGCAGGAAGCCTGCCATCTGGTGGTGAATGTGTATATTTTTCTTTTGCTCAACCTCAGGCTGTTTTGGAAACCAGTCCTTTCCTTTTCACCTCCACCGCTCTTAATTACCGGGGTTTTAATTGTGCCACAATAACAATGTACTTGTTGTAGCTACATCGTGGCCTCTTGGCTTCACAGTTAATTGCTCCCACCCTCTGCCTGCGCTTCTGCCATGTCCTTCATGCACTTTGGGCAAAAATGATAAGGATCCCTTAGATCCTATCCTGTTTCCAGATCTCAGGCTGCAGGGGGCTGGGAGAGAGGGGGCCAGCTGAGTGTTTTCTTACAGAGCACCTTTACACAAGGATTGTTGGAGTGTTCCTTGCAACCTGTTGATTCCAGGGTATTTATTCATGAGTCAGGATGTAATAAAGTAAAGAGCCCGGCCAGAGGCTCTCAGCATGGAGAGACTGGTGAGAGGTGGGCAGCATGGCGGGCTGGGTTTCGACTGGCGAGGTGGTGGATGACCTTGAGCCTTGGCTGCAGGCGGGTTTGTGCAGAGACTGGGGAAACTAACATAGTGAGAACTCCCTCCCACCCCCCACCCCCCCAAGGGAAGATGGCTATGCCACAGTCCCTTCTCTTAATTCTCCTGGGA